CAATAATTCATATTTTAAAATTCTATGTTCTAGTTCAACTAAGAACTCTAAGCGAAAGTAATTCGGATGAACATCGAGTAAAGATCTATTTTGGTCAATTATTCCGTGATATATCCTCTTAGTTTTAATTCATTTATGATTAATTACAGAATCGCTTCGAATAATCGCAATTAATTAATCCTCTAATTGAATCATACCATTATATTATGAATTTGATTATTCATTTTTGATATGGAATCATTTCTGTGCAATGTTAATTTTCTTGATATATAGTCTATATAGTATAATACATGAATAGGTGAAGGTTCAATTATAATGTCAATCCTTTTTTATTTTCTTTTTCTTATTTTATAAAAACAAAGAGGAAAAAAAAAAAACAAATATATGCATCAAGCCACATAGAGAGGCGAACGCTCTCAATAAAAAATGTTATGAAAAGACTGCTATTGCCGGCAAAAAATAACACTCATTGAACATAGATTTAGAAATTTCAATGTATGCCATACATCACAAATACCATCGTTCTGTACCGTGGTTCTTCTTTTTTCGTTCGATGCGAAGATTCTTTAAATTTCCATTTACAAATAAATGTTTGTATGTATTTATCTATTGTACACAGATCCATGTCCGAAAGATACCGGCGATATATATGAGATTTGGAAGTGGCTAAACTATAGAGAAACATCGTAAAATTATAATGATTATTATTCCAATGAAAATATCTCAGGATAATGTTTGTCCTTCATTGTCCTTGAGTTTCTCCGCAATATTTCACGCGTTAAATCTACAGCTTTGACAGCGCTACATTTATTAACAATTGAGTAAAAGAAGCATCTAAGTAATCATGAAGTATATAATATATTATGATTATGAATTATTGAACATTGTATCAAATTTTATATTCACTTCTTGTGGTTGACAATAAACTGGTTTTATAAAAAAAGTTAAAGATTTTTATAAATTTTTTCGATATTCGATATTGTAATACATAACATCACATATGCGCAGTTAAAGATATATATATATATATATATACATTATCTTTTTCATCTAATTTTATTAAATATTTCATTTTGGATATCCCCAAGGATCTTTTTTTTGGTCCATTAAAACAAGAGAAGATTCACAGATTTTCTTGAATACTTCACGTAATCTTCCTTTTTGGAATACCTAAAATAAAATATTAAAATGTGAATTGTAATTTTTTTTTTTATTTAAAAAAAAAACTTTAATACATAGAATATATACTTGTTAGAAATATTATTACAAAATAGATTTTAGAGATTAAAACAAATACAAAAGTTATATATAAAAATATCAATAGAATATTATTTATTAAATTATAAACAATTTAAATTTGCGTTAATGTTTTGATAATAATATCTCATGAATATATTAATACGTTATAAACATGTACCTTATAAAGTTGATATTGTTCAGAAGCAAGAATATCTGCTAATTGAATACATTCAGCATGTTCATTCATTTCAGACATTACAGAATGTAAAAGAAGTGTAATTTTTGGAATACAAAGTTCACGTAATTTTTCCATTTGATGATCACGAGATATTTCTTCTGGTGTACATGGTTCATCATTATTATTATTATTTGAATCAACTAACCAACCACCATCCGGAAATAATAATACATTGAATAGTAATTGTTTAACTGCCTATAAAATTAAATAAAATTAATAATTTTGTTTAATAATTTTTATTTTATATTAATATTGTATCAAATTTTATTTTGCCTTTGTATGATGTTGCATCGTAGATGTCCATCTTTCCATTTCCACATTATATTGTGCTTTTTTGTGTTCGTATGCAACTTTCTCAGTAAACGTGGCATATGGTGGCAATTCTTCTAATGGTGCAGGTTTTCCATGATGATAATGAGAGAACCATTCTGCAAAACCTTCTTGGGCATCAAGATAAGTTTTGTAACAAACATATTCCCGAATCGTTGAAGAAGCTTTCTTCGAAAGATTACTTGTCATTGTGAGATTTGTTAATGTGCCTTCCATTGTTGGATATTCAGCCATAATAGCTTCAATAGAATCCACTGGAATCTGCAAAATTAAATAACGATCATAAATTTTTAATGTAAAAAAATAACATAAAAAATAACGAATAATTTAATTTTATACTTTATTAAAAGCTTTTCTAGCAGCATCAATTTTTTCATTTGCTAAAAAATATCTTATAAGAGCATTAGTTTGCCACAATGCTTCTTCTCGTTGACTTGGATAAAATATTAACCAATCCAATGCGTTAATTTTATCTATATCTGTATCGGTTAAAGTGCCTTTCAAATCTATGGGATCAATATCAATGTTTTTGGAACGAATACTTTCTACTACTAATTTTGTAATTGCTTCTACATTTAAATTAGCATCTTCCGCTGCAGTTAAACATTTTCTACGCTGTTCGTGATCTTTAATATTTTCTAAATAACTAGCATAATTGGTAACTTGTAATTCTCGTGGCAACATAGCTGTGTAAAAAGCAATTAGAATTGGATCATCCATTTCGATTAATATATGAACATATGCCAATAAAACTTTATCTCCAATTTTATCTTTTGCATTTTTTCCAATCTGACGAAAGAAACATATCAAATGTGCTAAGAATCTTAAAAAATGAGGATCACAAGTACCCGTATTTATCATATTATCTATTTCTTCCATCAATTTTGGTATTTGATCTAATATCAAATATTTTTGTATTAAATGATCAGGCTTATTTGATTCCATTCGAATTTTGGGATCTTTTGATGCATGAAGTTCTTTAAAAACATCTTTCAATGAAATCTCATTCTTCCAATAATCATCAGGCATGTTTGTAAAACTTTTTATTACTAGATCTCTTACTTCCCTTTCTACTTTAATATCTAATAATGTTTTCATATAAGCCCATAGTGCATCTTGCCAAGAAGTCGCTATTTGTAACATTTGCTGAAGATTTCCACAAAGACTTGCATAAATAGTACGATAATATTCACCTAAATGAACAAAATTTAAATATAAATATTTTCATAAATTATTTTTAATAATGAATACAATAAGAAAATTATTACCTACGCGTTTATCTTGTGAAAGTTCCCAAGCACATAATTTCCATAAGCTTCTATTAGGATTTCCTTCAATGGGCAATTTAGTATCAATTAATGGATTTTGATAATTAGGATCATGATGAGGTATCCATCCTAATAAACATGCAGCTTTCCAAGGCTGTCCACAATGTTCAGCTAATGCCTGTGCTTTTTGAAGACGACCGCAACGAACCTATTGAATAAAATATATTATTCATATTATGTTTTTTTAATCTTATTATTTATATAATCATTTTTATTTGATTTTTTACTAAAAAAAAGTTCATACTTCTATAAACATTCTTTTTTCAAGTCTTTTATCATCTTCTTTATCTAAATCATGTAAAGATTTTCCTTCTGCAGATTCTCTTATTGGAGCATCTGGATCTAGAGATGATAACAATGGCCTAGTCGAACGAAAAGGAATTTGATCTTTACTCTCATATGTTAATAACTGTCTTACAGTATTTTCCCATGGAAGTGTTTTATCTGTGAAATGTTCAGTAATTGGATGTTTTTCTGCTTGATCCAATGCATTCTTTTCCAACCAGTCAATTATTAACTGATATTCTCTAATGTAACTTTCAGTTTTAAATAAATTATCTATTACAACTTTTTCTGATATGTACGTATTACTTTCTTCTAAATCATCTTCCATTGGAGTAGGAAAATTGAGACTATTTATTCTATTTTGATATAAACAATAAATAAGCCTCCATGTATTCCTTTCATTCTCTAAAGAAATTTCCTCATCTGATACATTAGTTTCTACTTTAGACTGCATTCCTAAATGATGAAAATTTTTATTATATAAAAAATATAATATAAAAATATAAGATTAATAAATAAATCATAATTTTCTATATACCTCTCATTATATCTAATGTATCTGTACAATTCTGTATAAAATCTGCAATAGTATCAAATACTTGTGTTTCTGAAAAATTTATCTGTACACTGTGTAAGAAATCATAATAAAGTTTAGACATAACATCTCTTAAAGGTTTCTTTGATTTTAAAATTATACCAGTTGCACTACTATCTTCCATCATTTCTCTCAAGGTAAGTTCACCTTTTTCTGAAGCAGCCATTATATCTCGAACTTCATGAGGAGTAAGTGTTAATGAATTGTCAATATCCAAAAGATCATGGCCCTTAATTAATCTTGAATGAGAATAGAATTTGCCTAACATTTTAGGGCTATTAATATCGTTAAATTGATAAGAATCATCCTGGTCTTTTTGTAAATGATTGGTACTTTGCAATGATAATCTTTTTGGAGTTATATTTTTTCCACTTAACCTCAAAAATGACTTTCGTTGAGCATTTTCTTGATTAAACATTTGAATAGATCGTTCTAAATTTTCAGTGGTATCATTTATACTATCCATTTTTTAACTAAAATTCAAAGGCCTATCAATATTTAATTAAAATTACTTATTTTATTGAAAATAAGAATATTTACAAATGAGAAATATACTTGACAATTGTACCGGTTTTCGAATTTTACAGATGCAACAACAACAAAATAGGGAATTTTTTCAATATAATAAATTTCCCTATAAATATGATACAAAATTCAGTAACAGAATAAGAAATGCATTCTATAATATTTATATTTTATAATATATTTTAATGATATTTAATATTTAATATGTGATATGATTAAATTTTTTTTCAATACTTAATATGTTTAAAAAAATTATTCTATTAAAAAAATTTTATAAAATAATATAAGATAAAAATTTATATTATATATTATTTTAAAAGAATCAATTTTTTATTAATTTTACAATATATATAAAATAATTTTATATAATTAAACTAATATTAGATAAATTTTTATATATTATTTATCAATATATTTATTTACACTATAATAAAGAAAATATGTCAAAATTATTTTGAAGCATTAATGAACTATATTACTTTTCTTATGACAAGATCGTACCAATCGTATGCGCAGTTGCAAAGACTTGTAGAAATGGCGACTTGTCTGCTTAAAGTTAGCTCTGCATTGCGGGCTTATTCCAACAAAAATAGCCTTGTAAAGGTAATAAAATCAAGAATTTATAAAATAATAAAATTATTATATTGTATTAGAAAAATTATTTTTAAAGTCTACATTCAAATCAATATAATTTTTTCGAGATAAAAAATGATTGATTCCATTTTCTCCTTACGTAATAAGAATGAATCTTTTGAAAGTTTGTAAAAACAAAAGAAACGAAATGAATCAGTATTAACGAATAACAAATAAAATACAATGAATAGAATTTTATATAGAATTTTTTGTATTAAGCTATCATAACCTTAATATATATATATATAAATATATGTCATTCTGCACAATAATATGATAAACATAGAAAATTAAAAATTCGAATATATTTTTATACATTATCAAAATAATTACATTATTATTAATTTTATATTAATAAATAATTTTATATTTTAATAATTAAAAATATTATCAAACTCATATTTATTCAATCTTTCAATTACTATTTCTTGCTATAAAATTGTTTAATAAAAATTAATAATATTAATTATTAATTAATATAATCTTTTTATTATTTTTTTATTAATTAATATAAATCTTTTTATATCTTTAAATTTAAAAATAAAAATTTAAAAAATAAATTTAAAAATAAAGTTATAAATTTATAAACAAACCAATACATAAAATTAAATTAATTTTTTATATAGAAATATAATTTGTTCTTTTTTCTTTATTATTATATTATATTTAGATACAAAAGATATAAGATACATATAATTATATTTAGATACAAAAGCAATGGAGATCTACATCAGCATCATTAAAAGAAATATTAATGAATCAGCCACCAACTCAAGTTACAACTTTAGATTGTGGTATGAGAGTTGCTACTGAAGATAGTGGAGCACCAACAGCCACAGTTGGATTGTGGATTGATGCTGGCAGTCGTTTTGAAACTGATGAAAACAATGGAGTTGCCCATTTTATGGAGCATATGGCATTCAAAGTAAGTAATATTTTTTTAATTTATTTGAAGTAAATTATTAAAAATAATAATAAAATTAATAATAATTGTAAACAGGGAACTACTAAACGTTCACAAACGGATTTAGAGTTAGAAATTGAAAATATGGGTGCTCATTTAAATGCATATACAAGTAGGGAACAAACAGTATTTTATGCTAAATGTTTAGCAGAAGATGTTCCAAAAGCTGTTGAAATTTTAAGTGACATCATTCAAAATTCAAAACTTGGCGAAAATGAAATAGAAAGAGAACGTGGTGTTATTTTAAGAGAAATGCAGGAAGTTGAAACAAATCTTCAAGAAGTTGTTTTTGATCATTTACATGCTAGTGCTTATCAAGGTACACCATTAGGAAGAACAATTCTTGGTCCTACTAAAAATATTAAAAGTATAACAAGAAATGATCTTCTTAACTATGTTAGGTCATATTATGGTCCACCTAGGTGTGTGATTCAACAATTATATATTTAATAAAATAATTTCATTTTATTTATATATCTAAAAATTATTATATTATTTTCATAGATTTATTTTAGCTGGTGCAGGAGGTGTAAATCATAATGCATTAGTAGAATTAGCTCAAAAACATTTTGGCCAAATGAAAGGACCATTTTATGATGAAATTCCTTCAATATTAGAACCATGCCGTTATACAGGATCAGAAATAAGAGTTCGTGATGATACTATTCCCCTTGCACATGTTGCCATTGCTGTTGAAGGTGCAGGTTGGACTGATCCAGATAACATTCCTCTTATGGTTGCAAATACTCTTATGGGAGCATGGGATCGTAGTCAAGGAGGAGGTGTAAACAATATAAGTTATTTGGCTGAAGCTTCTGCAAGTGATGGATTATGTCACAGTTATCAAAGTTTCAATACTTGTTATCAAGTACTTACTATTAAATTACATTATTATTTATATAATTATATATAGAATATATTCATAATTTTTTTTCTATAGGATACAGGTCTTTGGGGTATATATTTTGTATGTGATCCTATGGAAATTCAGGATTTTGTATTTAATGTACAACGTGAATGGATGAGATTATGTACGACAGTAACCGAAAAAGAAGTAGATCGCGCAAAAAACATTCTTAAAACAAATATGCTTCTTCAATTAGATGGAACGACTGCAATTTGCGAAGATATTGGACGTCAAATGCTTTGTTATAATCGGCGCATACCACTTCATGAACTTGAAGCTAGAATAGATGTAAGTAATATTTGAATTTTATATATTTTAAATATTATTTTTATTTTGATAAATTAAATTATTTGCAGAGCGTAAATGCTTCAAATATTCATGATATTGGTATGAAATATATTTATGATCAGTGTCCGGTAATTGCAGCAGTTGGACCAATTGAAAATTTACTTGATTATAATCTCATTCGTGCCGGCATGTACAGATTACGAGTGTAAACATATTTTCTTCGATAAATTTAGAACAAGTTATAAATAACATCGTTTTTAGCAAAAAATTTTAATTAAAATGAGACTATAAAAATATAATTATAAATTAATAATTATCTATACAAAAAATTTTTTATTTGCTTTTCATTGATATTTTATAGTCTTATTTTAATTTTAACTAATAAATAGTACATTTTCAAATACATTTTCATGTATTATCTGGCTTAAATGTACCAATAAATTTATCTTCAAAGAATTCATTTTTTTTGACTTGTAATTTATAAAAAAAAAAAAAAAA